GTCCGGTCCCCCGGCCTGGGCCGAACGGGGGGAGGGCCGCCGCTCCCTGGGGAAGCCCGCGCTGGGGCAGCCTGGGACTGAAGGACCGCGGCCTGCGGGAGGGACCCGCGCCGGGGCAGTTTGTGAGGAACTGCAGCCCGCGGGAGGGACTCACGCTGGAGCAGTTCGTGGAGGACGGTCTCCCTCGGCGGAGCAGGGGAGGAGCGCGGAGTCCTCCTCCCCCTGACGAGGAAGGAGCGGCAGAGACAAGGTGTGGAGAACTGACCCCAACCCCCATTCCTCGTCCCCCTGCACCGCCAGGGGGAGGAGGGAGGGCTGGGGGGGGAGGTGTTCTAGGGTTTGGGTTTACTTCCCAATATCCTTGTTTTGATTGAATTTGTAGTAAAGTAAATGGGTTTTGTTTCTTCCCCAAGTTGAGCCTGCTTTTTGCCATGACCATAATTGGTGAGCGATTCCTCCCTGTCCTTGTCTCGACCCACGAGTGTTTCTTTATATTTTCTCCTCCTTGTCCCACCAGGGCCAGGGGGGAGGAATGAGCGAGTGGCTTTGTGGTGCTTTGTTACCAGCTGGGCTTAAACCACGACAACCAGTCTGCACCTTTAGTTCCCCTGTCACATAATAGTATATTGTAATTGTAAATCGTGATAATTGTCTACAAACATAAAGCTCACTTGTCTGTGGGAGTGTCTTCTAAGCCCTGAAAAAAGTCTGCAAATTTTGATACAAAGCTTACACAAGCCTATATAAGGCAGACAAGCTTTGAGGGAGCTAAATGCATTTAGGTGCTTCACTTCAAAAACTAAGTTAGTAGTATGTGGTCCTGTAGGAAGCTTTCATTTTCTTCTTCAACATACATTAAGATATCTCGCACATGAAAACTTCAGTTTTAGAGAGGAAAAAAATCTAACTTGCATATTTATGTTTCTAAAAGCAGGAAGAGTGACCATGTTTCTATTACTTTTTAACGGGTAAACAAGGAACTGGTAAATTCCCTTTGACTTCACCCCAGATATTTTAAACAGTTAAATCATTGTGGCTTCCTCAAATCTTTGTTGAAATTGTCTAATTTCTGCTCCCTCTAATTTAATCTTCAAAGAATGAAATGGTAGAGAGGAAGACCAGCTATGAATTCCAGATGTATGTCTGTTTCTTCTAGGATCTTCTTGTGGAGTCCCAAAAGACTCCTTCGTTTCTCTGTACTATGACTGTCACAAGACTTACGTTGGCTTTTTGTGTTTGGCACTAAAGCCTGTTTATCCTAGCTCTAAAAAATCCAAACTGTAGTCATTTTCAAAATCACAATGGGTCAGCTTTGCGTAGTTTACCCATTGAGAGAATTAGCATTGCCGTAAGAAGTCAAATGTGTCTTCAGAAGAACCAGTGTTTTTCTTGCAATGATTTTATTCAGATAAAAGTCAAAATCTTTCAATATCTTTTATAGGTCTATAAAAGCTTATATATAAAATCTGCATTTGAGTAAAAAGAGTATTATCAACAGTTTTTAAATGATGATTTTTGTATCTCAGTGGCATCAACTAGAAGAATAATTTACATTGCTCTGGTGTTTTTCTTTTGCATAACAAATCAACTCATACCTATTTATATTTTATTTTCATACCGAAGACAAATCTACTTATTTTGATACAAAATAGGCATGTGAGTACTTTGAAGCAAGCTTCTTATCTTGGAATGAAAGTGAACTTGTCCTAATATAAAAATAAGTAGGTCTTTATGCATGTTTAGGAAAAATACCAACAAAATGATTCATTAAGCTATCTTTATCATTCTGTTTATGATAGTTAAACTCATTTGCTATGCTTTTAATGTTTTTTTTTAAGAGTTTATCATATAGCTATAAAAATGATAATGAACTACAAAGCAACATGCAAGTTTTCAGATAGAATCAAAGCTATTATTTTTTCAAAGTAATTTTTACATACCATTTTTTCCACAACTTTGGTAATGATTCATACTTGCAATTCTTATAATTTGAAAATAGGTCTTATAAAATGGTAGTATTTCAGGTTAGGAATTTTGTTACTGAAACAAGTACATAATATAAATAACAAAACATCATTGTCACTTAATCAGTTATTGGGGACAATCAGTGTGTGCTTATTTTAACCAGTCAGAGATTTGCTCATTTTAATTGTGTATTGCATAGTCTGCCGTGACTCTAGATTTTACAGACCTTAAGAAATAATTCTTACATGTGTTTTTCTGCCTTGTCATAAGGAACAAACATTTCTTATCTATATAAAGGCCTTTTCATAGTAAACTGGAGTTAGTGCTTTGTTACTTAAAAATAATATCAGGATAAAAGAGGTTTACTTCTCAGAAATTCCATTTAAATATTGTTAGTTGTATTGGAATTGGGAGTTTAGGACTTCATGAAAACACTTATTTGGCAAAGTTTGGGATAAATCATGGGGTAGAGTTGGGTTAATGGGCTCATTTATGGCTTTGAGTGTGGCAGCCCTTTTGTACAGAGTAGTGCAATCAAATTGCTTGTAGAAGGTGACCAAAGGAAATTTTGCTTTGGGTATCTCAATATCACTCACCTATAATATGGTGCTGACCTTCATTTACAGATTTGGTCCATGGGCATCTTCTCTCAGGCTTTGAAGAGGGGTGGTTTAATTCCTCAAAATCAAAGACAAAAGCATTCAGGCTTCACCATGGCTGTAACTGGTAGTAAGCATTGAAGAGAGTCTTTGCAGGTGTGAACTTGTTGGTTTTTAAAGACTTGAAAGTCATGGGTAGGTTGTGCATTATGCCATAGCACCCCGCTTGTGTTTTTTATGCTGTTGTCAGACCCTTCTGTACTCATACCACAGCAGTGATTTGAGAACAGTGCATCATCATAGGTATTTACATTAAGCCATTAAAATTTTGTTATATAGTGGCATTTTTTTGGTGGATGAATATATTAGAAACACTTCATTTAAATCAGATCATTTTTGTCTATAATGTTTTTATCAATTTTATGTGTATTCATGGTATGTTTATTTTTATTGTAAATCACAAAGGAAATTACAAAGAAAAACAGAAGACACTTAATTTCATTCTGTGAGCTGGAATAAGACAATAGTCTTTTTCTGCAACTGTTTTTCTTGTAGTTGTGAACATGTGAAAATTTTGTTTGTATTAAAGAAAATAAAAAAATCCCAAACCAATCAAAGAAATTATCAAGCTTATAATTTTAATAATGACCTCATCTTAGGACATTAAACTGGGAATTAATGATCAGTTAAGGTTAATGACTCAATGCCTTGAGTCATTAAACTCCAAGAAAATGCCCTGTACTTTGATTGTTTTTGGTTTATTAAAGCTAGGTTGTAGAAGTTGCAAAAAAAAAAAAAAAGGGTATTTCCAAACAAAAGGGGAATGAATATGAACAGAAACCAGAAGTATTTTATTATCTGCCTCCTTCTGCAGTCCCAACACAGCTAAAAATGCCATAATCCTTCATTCGAGTTTTGTTAGCATGAGGACCTAGGGAGCAAAACCTTTCATAGCCACTTTCCTTTTCTTTCTTGTTTTGAAACAAATGAAGAACCTCAAATGTTTGGTAAAGCATAGGTTAACACTGTAGTGTTAGAGCTGCACATCACCTTTTTCTGTGAAGTTATTCCACAATGTCCCCTAAATAAGCAGTTAAAGGATATTGCAATAGTACTATGCTGTGGTCGGTACATAAGAATACAAGCCTTTGGATATGCATTGTCTGTAGCAGGTACATATTTGCATGTAAGTGGGTAATAAGTATTTTCATTGTAATCCGTATCTAATTTGTATGCTACTTACACGGTCCAGGAGATGGAAAGTTGTGTATGTGAGCATTTAACAGACAAGGAGTGCTTAAACCTGAAGCCCTTTATTTTTCCATACTGGACAGATGTAAGCTGCTACGATGGCAGTTGCTCAACAATATCTTAGAAATAATTCTGAGTCTTTTCTGACATAAAGTAGTATATTTAAAGTAAGGTGTCTTAGTGAGATTTTCACTTTAAATAGAATAAGGGTTAAATGATAACTTGACTTATCTTTTAAATGACAAAAAATAAAGAAATTGCAAGACCTTTTCACACATTAGATATGTATTGTCATTTATCATCTAGATATCAGGCTAGCAGTGCGAAGTAATAAAACATATCATCGAAAAATGTGCTATAGGTCTGAATCACTCTTTCATTCCACCTCCCAGCTAACTGTAGTATTAAATCAAACAAGCAGAACATTTCCTTAGGCAGCCATTGCCTTTTAATTTCCTGAAGAACCTTAAAATATCATTCATTACAAGTACTACACATATTTGGTTTTTAAAAGTCTCATAAATCAATAGCAGGCTGACTGTAATAATTATTACAAGTTAGTGCATAATTTTCGTGCTGAAGGCTGCATGCAGAACTTTAGCATATGCAAACGAGGCAATTCAAACTGTGTATAGATATTAATATGAAGAAGCAGGTAACGAGGTGCAGGCTATGAATTATGCATCAAGAGCGGCTGATCTTCAATGAGGAAAATGAATTCAGCATGTAATCTAATTAGTGATGGAAGTCTATTACATCTAACTGCAAAAGCAACCGTCCTTGAAACAAATTTATTTACAGTCCATGTTACCACTTGAAACAACTTTGAAATGATGTGTAAGACAACAGCTTAATTGTAAAAATTTTTTTGTTTGTTTGTTTCAGTTCTAGACCTGGAAGGCCTCCTAAGAGGACTCAAAGTGTCACCTCCCCAGAGAATTCTCATATCATGCCACATTCTGTCCCAGGCCTAATGTCTCCTGGAATCATCCCGCCAACAGGTAGGATTGCTAGAAACACCTTCACACAGGCAATCTTTTGAATTCATGGCTTATATCCACTTGTTAATAAATTAACATTCTAGGAAACCAGCACCCAAATATGACAAAGGAGTTCCTGTAATGTAACATTATGGCCATATAAATGTATTGTATGTAATGGAAATTGTGGCAGCTCAGTACTTTAAAATACAAATAACTGAGCAGATAATAATCCTTTATAATTTCCCCCCCTGTTCTTTTTCTTTATAAACATAAAACCTTTCAAGGCATGAATTACCTATCATTAGACAATAATCTCCCTATTCATTTTTAATAGATCAGATATCTTCTGATTTTTTGCTGCTTTGCTTGATTAGATAATGTCATCATGAATATAGTTGCCTGAAGAAACCAAGTTAGTTAAAATAACTCTATGCCGCACACACGTCTTTCTTAATTTTTCATCCTGAAATTCTATTTTTAAGTCTCCTGAGGCCTTATACTAATGTAAAGTCCTGTAACAGTCTGTTTCTCAAACTACTATTTTCTTTTGAAAGTTACTATAACATCTTCTAGCAGTGACTTGCTCTTAGTCATAGTTAAATTAAGAAAGCCTGTGTTGCAGGAGGGAGATGAACAGAGCCACCTGAAGATGGAGGCACGCAGCAGTCAAGCTGTTGATGGTGGTGCCACATTCTCTCTCCTCATGTTACAGAAGAGTTATATTCTCCCACTTGCTTCAGCAAAGCTCACCTGAGCTTCCACTTCTTCCCCAGTTGTTCCCCACTTGTTTGCACAGCTCAGTCTCTAGCACTGATTTTCTCTAAGGCAAAGGAAAGATAATAAACTAGACAGATCCAAATAGAGAGGAAGATTACTGGGTCTTGGAGGTTGGATGGATGGGTGGATGTTTGAGTATGTGCCCATGATCACATCTCTGTTTAAGTATGAGCATGATCCTTGGCATGGTTTTGGTCATAGATGATTAACATTCTCCAAAAAGAATGCAAAGTTCGGAAAATATCACATGCCAGAAACTGTTGGCAGTTTGGATGCAAATGTCTTGTCTGGAGGAGGGAGGAAAGTGGAGAGAGTTTAGCTCTGTGGACGAAAGTGGGGCCATGCCTCTTGGCCTTAGAGCTCAAGAGCTGCTTTACATAGTGAGATAGACAAATAGCCAGAAATATTTTCTTAGAAATTTATCATTTTTCAAAAGGCTAAAGATCAAGAGAATTGACAAAATTAAGAGAAGTCAGACAACTAAGGCTGGTAAGAGAGACTTATAAAGTAAGCAGAGGGAAGGAGGGGTGAGACTGAGAGTGTAGGCAAGCATGGGAGGGTGTCAGGCAAGTAGGACTCACAGTGGTAGTCTGGGTAGGTGTGACCAGCAAAAAAAATGAATCATGATTAAAATACCTTACACAATAGGATTTACAGGATAAAATCTAGTAAAGGAAGTAGAGTTGGTGCAGAGTGAATGCAATGTGAGAATAATAAATAGGGTCTATGTGGGGAAAGAACAAAAGTTTTTATAGGGCAGAAGCATTCATTTTTATGAGGGAAAGATAAAAAATTGCAGAAGAAAAGGGAAATTATTTGGGGGAAGTAAGGCAGGAAATATCAAAGAAAAAAAATGCATGTGAAAAGGGGAAAGGAGATGACATGAAAGAAGTCAGAGACAAATAAGCAGGCCCAAAAGCGGGAGACAGGAAAAAAAGCTTGTCAACAGTATCGTTTGGGAGTTTGTGTTACAGTTCATATATAAGAGCAGGTTGCCTCCTGATACAGTATCTTCTGGGGGTTTTTTTGCATTTTTTTTATTCTAAGAAAGCAGCTTAAAACCACAACTAATGCCTAAAGTATCCAATTCCTCTCTAGTCCTTTAAAGCTGGTCATAACAAGTTAATGATAAAAATATATGGTACTAAAAACACAGATCCAGTTTCTTAGGATATTAACCCACAAAACCAGATGTAGATCTTTTTAAAATGATGATTAAAAAAAAAGAAGAATATAATTCAAAATTAAAGAAAATAGGCATTTGTAAGATTATAATTAATTGAATCCTTTTAGGATGGTAATGCTTTGTGAGTCTCTTGCAAAAGAGGAAAGGTTTAAATGAAATCGCTATTAAGTTTGAACTGGTTTTGCATTACATGGCTTACCACAACAGAAGGGGTGAGCATGATTTTTTCCCATTGTGGTGGTGTTGAGTCTCAAACAGCACAAAACCTGCAAACACTGACACTGTTAGAAGCAAGCTCTAGGGTATAACGTTCCATGGAGTATGGCTCAGCAAAGGTAAAGGAGCATCATGACAGCAGCACTACATGACAGTTATCCGAGCATTTTATGGACAAGCAAGTATAAAAATAGGCTTAAAATCTGATCTTATGAGTTCAAATCAATGAACATTTGTGCATCTACATTGTGAATAAGTACCAAAACTACTGTAAGAGCCCTACCAAGAAAGAACTGCTATAACTGCAATAGATGACATGGGTGCCATTATTATTACCACATTAGTTGATACTAGAAAATTCTTGCCACTTGTGAACATTTTCCTCCATGTTTTCACTGTATACTCATAGAACCACAGAACAGTTGAAGTTAATAGGCACCACTGGAGATCATCCAGTCCAACCTCCCCTGGTCAAAGCTGATCACACAGAGCAGGTTGTTCAGGACTATGTCCAGTTGGGGTTTGAGTATCTTCAAGGATGGAGATTCCATGATGTCTCTTTGCAGCCTGTTCCAGTGTTTGACTACTCTCAAAATAATTTTTTTTCCCTTACTTTTCAATGGATTTTCCTGTATTTCAATTGTGTCTGTTGGGCAACACTGAGAAGAGTCTGGCTCCATCTTCTTTACTCTGCCCCCATCAGGTATTCATACACAGTGATAGATCCCCCCTGAGCCTTTTCCAGGCTGAACAGTCCCAGCTCTCTCAGCTTTTCTTCATATGTCAGGTGCTCCAATCCCTTAATCATCTTTGTGGCCCTAAGATGACTTTTTGTTTGAGAAGTTTATGAAGTTTGGATTTCCTGTTAGGATCCAGCTCTAAGCAGAAAAAACTTAAAGCACCAGATTGTTAAGTGCTTTTCCCCGCCTTTCTCTCTCTCTTTTTTTGTAACAAATTCTTCCTTTTAAGCTTTCTGATTGATTTAATAATCTGAGTATAATAATGTAAGTTTCCTTCCTGCCTACAAAAGAGTATAAGTGATCACACAAACAATTATGTGCTATTTAATGCTCTTTAAGTAACAGAGATCTGCAGTTATTAGTTATATCCAAGATATACAACTCTATGATTTAACACATGATTTTTACTTGAAAATTTTCCTTTTTCTGAAATCTGCTGCATAATACACAAATACACATTTAAAGGTGGAAATCCTCGTTTCTAAAGGGGCTGGTTCTGCATGCATTGTTTATGTGTGCAAATAATATTGGTAGAAAACTGTATGCAGAGACTTCTCATGAAAATTCAGGATTGTATATTTTTGCAGGAGGCCAAGTTAAGGAACCCTTTAAAATGTATTCTATTACTGGTCCAATCTGAAAACCCATGCAGAGAATGTTGCATTATCACTTAGAATGGATTTGCTTTAGGGAAGTGTTTAGGGACTAAGCTGAGATTTAGGGACTATACTGAGAAGGAAAATGAAAGGGAAAAAAGGAATATTCCAGGGTTTTTTTAGGGAGCATAAATTGAAGTGACTATCACCTCTTAGGTGATACTGTGTCCATTTTATCACAAGATTCATAAATATTATCCACAATTGCTGATCTATCTACTGTCTTTCATTAGGGTCAATTTACAGAATGTTCCCAACTTCAGAAAAGACTGGTCAGCTGACTAAAGACAGTCTTACGTTTATCAAAATAAATGTAGGACTTTTGAAGGTGTGACAAAATGAGAAATGTGTAGTAACAGGAAATGAAGAGTTCTTGAATTGTCCAGAGAATTAAGATCTGCCTATGTTACACATGATGTAGCCAGAAAAAAGAAGAGTTTGGTGTAGGTTCAGACAGGTGTACTGACTTTTCAGGCTTATCTGGATAATACCTTGAAGCCCTTCCAAAACTAGATGGCTCATCATAGTTAATTTTGATCTGCATATCTCTGTGTACTGCAGATCTTTTCTTGGCTAATGTGCTTAGAAGGCTTCGAAAGTTGTCTAAAGTTGAAATGGTAGATCATTGTAATTAATCAGAAAAGCAGCGCTGTAATTCTAGAGCAGAGAGTATGATATACATTGTGCTCTATATTTTTATGTCTGTAGTTGCTATATAACATATAAAATGATATTTCTGTTATTTTTCATACAAACTTTGAAAAGCAATTCTCTTCACTTTTCAAAGTAATGTTTTTGGTAATTATTCTTAAGGCTTTTAGGTTTTGAAACTGTTTTGTAAAGCTCCTGACTTAATTCTTCTGCAGCTTGGCCTACTGAGTCTGTAATCTACAGGTGATGAAATGAGTTAACTACAAAACTCTTGTGCTTATTTCAGGAACTGCATCTTTCTCTCAAAGATAAAATGTGAATATAAAGTACTTTTGGAAATCACTATTATAGGGCATGATAAGAATACTACTTCATATATCTATATCTATATATCTCTCTTTATAGATCTATCTGTCAATTAAAAAAAAGTAATTTCAAAGAACTTTACATGTTTAATTTATTATGTTAATTCTACATTAAATTAATCTCAGTAATTATTGTTGCTATTATTATTTTGAACAGATTTGCTTTATGATAGGTACTTCTGTCCACTTATTCCACATCTGATACCAGGCTCTTCTTTTCCACTGTAGAGATACTAAGCTTCCTCTGAAATGTTTCATGTGTATAATTTAAAACAACTTTCCTGTATTAAACTCCTATTCTGTTTTTTTCTCAAGTGATAATCTGAAGATGTAATTTCTAATCTCATCCTTATTTTCTCTCTTGCTGTGTGACTGAATCGATAAAAGTATATTCCAACTTCCATGCTTTACAAAACTCTCTGAGCCA